GTATGGTATTCCCACCGTTTTTACATATACTGTGACAGGTTAACTTGAACAAGAAATGAGACATAATATGTCAGCCAAATTAAAAACTTTTATTGGAGTATGCTTGAAACAAACTCATTTGTAAGATGTGTTGTCTTACCACATCTGAAGGCAAAATTGTTCATCTTTGTCCCAAACACCCACACCCTTTCTCACTGTCATAGAGGTAAAGTATCCCTGCAATTTATGTTGTTGCACCCATTTGTACAACAACAATTGATATCAGTAGTTGTTCAGAATAAAAAGAGAGCTTAACAGAGCAGTTTAAATCCTGCCTCCTTTCTCTCCCCCACACATCAGGCCACTGGCTGATTGAAGTGGCTGTGATGGTCAGAATGTTGATTCAAAAAGTTATCAAAAATGTTTGCTAGTCCCCGGTGGGAAAGGAGTGACAGCGGGGGTTTCAGATGCTGTTTGATGATCTGACAAGCACTCTGTTTGAAGTGTATTGATCCCCTTCAGGTTCAGTGGTTACGGTGAGCAAACCTTGAGCTAAACTAATGGCAATCAATAGGTCAACGCTTTGATAGGGTGACGGATAAATGTCAGGGTTCAACTATCAATAACAATCATGGCTGACTGAGCCAACTTCATCTTCACCATGGAAGCACTGACAGGGCTTTTCTAATGATGCTCTTTGAACGTAATTTAGATATCCCATTTCCTCGCTCACACTATAATCCCAATGTTTTATTTTGATTTGATTTGCATTAAAAACTATTTTAGTCCTTCCTTTAAGCATAAAAAGCAATATATGCAAACTATACATCTCTCAGATTCTGGCTGAATGCAAGAATAATATTATAAATATTTACTGTAAATAAAAAATTCCCCTTTTTCCCAGTTATAATGCACATACATAAGAGGTGCACCTTATCATCCATATGTGACTTCTTCATCTATGATAGTGATTTCCATATGCAAGTTATTGTATGGTGCGTTGATATGCAAAACTTAGAAAATCTACAAAGAGAATTAAAGACTATCAGCGGTTAAATCCCTGCTGTCCCTCCTCTTCACGGCTGCGTCTCCACTCCTGCGCTCAGTCAGGGGCCGATTCCACTCGCTGCCTTCAGGGGCTAATGAAGATGGCGGGGGGCGTGTGTTTGTGTGTGTTGCAGCTGAACCACACTGTGCCTAACATGACTTTGTGCTCAGCCAAAGGTCTGGTGTCTTTGTGGCTGCTCAGTTGTTGGACATGACCAGTGATCTAACGACAGATTAAAGCTGGTAGCTGAGCAGGGGGCCGGAGGAAGGGGGGCCTACATGGTGTGTCTGTCGCTGTGTGCACTGAAGAAAAACATACTGTTGCCTGATCTAAATCAAAATTATATTGGCAGTCAGCTATGCGGCAACATTTTGGACTTTAGGAAAGGTTACAGACAATCCCACGTGGCCAAACTAGTTTAACAGACCAATTTCAGTTGAGATTGAGATTCAATTGATAACTGTGTTTCTTCTACAGGCGGATATCTGTTTTCCTCACCTACTTCTGTATCTCAGTATGGTGGTCAGCATGCATAGTAATTATTACATACATGCAACTTGGTTTACCAAAGTAATTAGAGGATTAAATCATGGCAGCAATATATAAGAAACCAAATTAAGCTTAAGCAGACCGAACAGCAGTCAACCTGCTGTTGAGCATGTGGCTCGATCCTCACTGCAGTTTGTAGCCAGTTTAACGGCACATCATGCCAGATGCATGGGGAACTTGCACATAACAAATTGACTCAGATAGATGAGCCTGCCTGCAGCTTTATAGCTCCTGCTTCTGTATTCACAAAAGTGCACCAATTCTCCTACAACATAGCACAGCTAGTCTTAGCCTCACTGATTCATTTTCAGAAAGGAAGAGGAAACAACTTGGAGTGTAACTAAAATTACACAATTAAATAAATCAATGTATACCACAGCCCAAGGCACATTTAATAAATACAACAAATGATTTGTCACTGTTTAAAAGTTGCAAGCAATTGCATGTCTTGTATTGGACTGCAGTAAGTAAACAAAGCTGTACGAAACTTACAGGCTGTTAGTCAGAGAAGACTGTGACACTCCAGTGATTACACACACTCACTAACTACTTATTTTCCTGCTACGAAAATCCATTTTCAATTTTCTTTGTAGTGTTTTTCTGTATTTTACGTCAAAGGAGGTCACCCCAACCCCACATCACATCCATGACGACTTGTGAGTGAAGATGTCTCCAAAAGCGAGAAACTGTAGTGATGTAAAATTGAATAATGTGTGTTTATACAACACATTTTCAACCCGTAGCTGCTCATTTAATAATTTGGTTTGATTGTTTTCTCATTCAATAACATGTTTATGGAGTTGTCATATTTAAACTCTCCCTCTATATCTGCAGATCATTCTTTTATAATTAAAGTAACCTCATCTGACACTAAATCACTCTGGCTATAGCAACAATTTTCATTTTCATCATTTTCTCCTCTTTTCTAATTATCTTTGGTGGAACTTTAAATTAGCATGACACCACCGATTAAGGAGATGGGCCAGGCTTCTCTTATTTGTGTCTGAGAGATGTTCACTCAAGCCTGATTTCCACTGCATGGTTCAGCTCCACTCAACTCTAATCAACTCAGCTTGCTTTTGTTACCAGGTTGTTCTCTCTATCTCTTCTCCACGGCTAATAGCTAATGTACTGTAATGGTCATCTTTTCCCGTCCTTTACAGCCCATTTTGGTAACTGTAGGCAACATTAGCAATATAATACAGAACACCATTCAAACAGCTCATTTCTAAATGACCGTGATTTGATTTAGTCTGTAAGGACTGGGAGTTGAATGAAAGCTAAGGAAACCATGCAACATTAATTCCGGAAAGTCATTATTCATAAGTTAACCTTAACCTGTTTTTATCAAATAGCTTCCTCAGAGGGGAAAAAGCAATTGTTTAAAGCTGAAGTAATTTACCTGATGGCAAAAATATTTCCCGCTTAAATTAATCTGTGCTGCTTCATGCCTCAGTGTAATTTGTTACCAACACATAAATAATTAACTCTGAACCAAAAGTGAAAATATTATTTCACACATAATTACATTTCTTTCACTTCATCAGTGTCATGTTTTGCATACCAAATTTGCTACACTTTCCTGCAATTTCACAGTTTTGATTAAAGTTATTTACTTGAACATTTTCTCCCTGTTGTGTTGTGGTAAACAAAGCAGTAGGCATGAGAGGTGACAATGTGGGTCGGCGTTGAAAGATGAATTAGAAGCTGATACAATTTCTGGTCAAATCCCTATGAGGATTAAACAGCTATACTGAAATGTCAAGTTGCACCAATGGCTAGTCATATACTGAGTTACAATCCATTATTAGAAATTCGACTACACATGCTGCCAATTGTTTCTTATTTGAATATTTCCCCTGTATTGTCTATGTAAGAGCAAACAAAGATAGCAAATGACAACAGACTGCAGGGTCTCTACAAGGGGAAGATGTTGCCAGCGTCACTTTGATTGCCTCAAATGATATTCCTGCTGAGCTGATCAAACGCATATAGGCTGATTGGATATTTCACAGGGCGCTACTGCTAATTCACAAGGTGGAGTGTTGCCACTATTTTGAACAGAACGCCTGTATAAATATCCATGTTTAAATCTGTGTGTCAGTGTTTTTGACTCTGCCTTGGTCAAGGTACGCAGCAGCATTCAAACAGGCCCTCCGGCTGTTTTTGTATTCAGCTTTTTTAACGTTGCCAGTGTCATCTTTTCTGAAAAACATTTACTTTTCACGAAAATAAGGTTGATTACCCTGTTGACACTGACACATTTGTCTCATTTTAAATTAATAGACACCAACCAAATAGCATCAATCATATAATTCTTAAAAAGAGGTGAGAGTATGCAGCAGCGGAATACTGACTACATAATAGGGTCAAAAGAGAAAATACTTACAGGATTCAATACACATTGAGGATTTGGACTGCATCATTTTCAGGGTTAGCATTTTGTACAATAGAACGGAATATTTGAAGTGAACGTAAAGACATATATCTATATATATCTGTATCATGGATATGTCAACCAGGGCCTGTATTCTTACATCATATTGAGCGTTAAACACTACTTTTGGCAGCATGAATATGAGTACTTACATCAAGGATGTTAGAAGGACATGAGTGAAAAATGAACACCATCTTCAGATAAGTTAGCCTTTGGCAGAGGATGTCTCTTTGGCTAATCAGTAAGATAATTTGATGGCAACTTTACCTATCAGAATTAATAGAAAAAGGATGCTGTCAAGCTGACAGTCCTATCATGATCAGTATTGTGGGTAGGAAGGAGAAATGGATACAAAGTTCTCATGGCTTCTAAAAACATTGAAGTCCTATTGGACCTTTCCTTCCACTCCTACATACGCAGCAATTTATATACACAAGTCTACGCATAAGATCAATGGCGGTTATATCACTGCAGATCTAATATAGCACCTTCAGGATTATTTTTGACAGAGAGGGAAAAACATAGCAATAAATGCAGCTCCAGCCTGTGCTTTCAGCCTGTGCTTTCAGCATGGTGTTGCTGATGTAGCCTGCGTGCAAATTTAGTTCAGGGGAAGTGACATTGTAAACATGAGAGGTTTTCTAAGGTTCAGCGTCACATGTCCTTCACAAGGCAGACTTTACTCCTATCTCCCTTTCTCATGCACCTTGGCTGATAAATGTACTTTTTTTTTAACTTAGAATCCCTCGCGACAGAATCTAGACTCTTTATTAAGTCATTTACACCCTTCTCCTTGCACCTTAAGGCCTGAAACTAAACCCCTCATCCATGCAATCATTATCATCACTCTTACCCCTCCTTTCCCTTTTTCTACCAATTATACTGCTTCTTCTCCCTTTTAAAACATAAGACCTGGGTTGTATTATAGGCCCTATACCTCTCATGGTACCATTGTTCTGACTTTCAGTCACCCATCCATCCCCCTACCTCCTTGGAGGGGACCCTGGATCCCTTCCTCCGTGACCACCAGCTTTCCACCATGGCAATGAGGCAGGAGAGCACCACGCCGGCTGCCAGGACGCAGAACACCCCCGCAAAGCTGTGGATGTCCAGGGCGTTCCCCTGTTGTCGTGTCTGGATTGAACTGTAGAGATCACAGGGGCTGTCCCTGGGCCACCATTTGAGTTTCAGTATATCCATGTCACCGTTCTGCTGGAGCTCCAAGACTCTAGGACATGGGCGAGAGAAACAGCCATGTAAGCATAGATCAATGTACATGGAAAGCACATTTTGACAAGGAAGAATACATGAATGAATTTGTAGATGCATGAATGCAACAAGCCAGACACGCTGCTAAGAGTACTGATCGTTATTGTGTATTATCATTTATGGTTTCTGAGGGTCATTTGAATGATTATAGATTCAAAACGATTCAAAACAATCATGGAGGATGTAAAGCATTTCCCCACGTCAACTGCACAAAACCTGACAACACTGCAGCGTTTACTGCAGATGCTATAGCTCTTCTTGTCCATTTGAGGGCAGTGTTTGCCAGTTAAAATCCCCTCTGATCCCTGACAACCATATTGGGCTGTCAAACTCATTATGGCTAACATTAATATGTTTTGCAGCACAGCGCGAGTACACTGCCACAATGTCATTATGCAGCCTAGCTTTAGTCCCAGGATTGATGGCTTCAGAGAGGATACAGCTCAGAGGTTGATGGGATCCCTCTGTTAGCCTTCAGCTTATTATTTAACTGGGTCGTTCATTTTGGTTTGGAGGAGAACTGCCGACACACAGACAGACGTACAGAGGCTCTTTTAGCATCCGGATGGATATTTAACAGGCGATCTGATGAGAGAAGGGCATTGGGAAAGGAAAGACAAAAAGGAAAAAGGCAATGTGGGAATGTGTGCCTTCACATAGCTATGCCTCCCACACAAGCAGATACAGACTAACGCAGACAACATACAGGTGCAAATAATCACTCATAGATAAAACTAAGCCATGACAACGATTGAAACCAACAGGGTAGATAGGAGATACATATTCACAAATGAACAGTTCCATACTAGACTGTATGCACTTAAGCCAGATTCACCCAAGTCTATACAGAGACAGATGTTTGCAATTATCTTCCCAACTTCCTGGGGGCAGAACCTTCTCACAATTCCAGTGACAACATGCTGACATAAATGACAATGCCCATCTCTCATCTTCATTTTACTTCATGCGGAATACAGAATACGCACTGAAAACAATCAAGAAATGCAAATGAGGTCTGCAGACAGTTTACGTAATTAATTGTATCCACAATATGCAGAAAAACATAGTTAATTTTTATTTCAATCAGATAAACAAGCTCAACAGAACATTGCTCTCTAACCCAGTCTCTGTCATTTAGGAACACTTTTCTCTCTTCAATCACTTCCTGGGCTTTACAGAGTTGCAGAGACTGGACAACTACATCGTTTCAATCCTGGTTGCGGTTGTAATTCATGGGACAGAATAAAGGAGAAAGAGGAGGATAAAACTGTAAAGGACTGTAAAGAAGAAGAAAAGAGAGGATCAGAGAAGAGATGAGAAGAGAGACAGACAATAAGAAAATGAAAAACAAATTTCAACAGAAAATCCAACAACAGTCATTATAATACGAGATCATGTCCACCAACTGCCAGCTTGATTGTAGGACTGTTTGGCTCGGATCAGTGCAGATTAGTGCCAAGATTAGATAAGACTTTGTGTAGATGATATGCAACATTGACTGAAAACAAATGAAATAAAAATGATCTGCAATAGTGTTCAGTATAGTGACAGCACTGGCCTAGTTGTATGCCCTGGTTATTACTCGACTGGCATAAAAAAGAGGTAGTCAGTGAAGAAATCCCTCATCTCACATCAATCCTGCATCTTTTCAGTAGTGCATTGGGCCCTGCTCCTATTCTTCAAAACATGTTACCAAGTTACTTTTTGATATATTATACTGCATACACTGCAACACCAAACCTCAAGTTGCTTCATGCTTTACCTCTGAGTGCTGCGGTAGATTGTTTATCACTGAAAGAGCCAAAACAGCTCACTGTTGCATGCATGGCGCACTGCTGATATTCAAGTTGACATCAGCAGCAGCGTTTAATCAAAATGTAAACAGAATCCTTGCAAGTTTTTTCCAAGCCAATGACAAGAATCACATCAAAATGACTGTTTATGAAAGTTAAAACAGGATTTTTCCAAGAGAAGTGATGTGCCTTTCATACAGTACTGACCTTTTTATCTGTCACTTTGACGACAGATGCTTCACACACACACAAACAAGCCTGCACTCTGACAGATGGCTTCGGAGAAAGAAGGAATGCACACAGGCTAATGAGACGGAATAAGAGCGATCCCACCTATCAAAGAAGCCAGGCACTGTTTTGTTAAAATATTTCATCATTTCTTGCTTGGAATTCTGCCAACTTCTGAAGATTGCTTGTCTGTGTTGATGTCTTTTTATGTCTGTCTTTCGATGGAGGCATGCTTTATGTTTGGAGCTGCCGTCTGTTATCACTACTCATCAGTTGACGGTTCTTATGTTTCACAAATGTCATGTCACACATGGTTTTAGTGGGGCACTTAAGCAGTGGAAATAAGTGGTGGCATTTTCTTGTTTCATCTACTTTAAAATCTGTGAACATAATGACTATAGACAGTAAATGCCTTTGTGACAAAATTCTACAAAAGGGGTTGACCTTTGATCGCAAATAAATAAACAGTGGAAAAGAAAATGTACATTTCTTTCCTTGCAGGGAGAAATAGTGATACAAACTGAATGTTACTCTCAAAAATCCTATCGTAAACCCGACTAATTATAATACGATTTTGCTGTGTGTCAAAGTAAATAGCTGAATATAAATAAAAAGTTATACTTTGATTTTCATATTAATTCAAAGACTCAGTAAATGCCAACATTTGCTACCGTAATCCAATAGACAAACAAAACGACAAAAAATAACTAAAAGGCTTCTCCACAACTTGATAAAAGATCTATCAGATCAAGACATGAAAGCAAACGTGCCAAAAGTAGACTTTGATGAAGGAATTATTAGTGTGTGACTGAGCTGTGTGTAACTTTGAGGGAGGACATAGCCGAACATATTTGAGATTCAGGACAGAGTGCTTTCTCTCTCCCCTCGGTTACGACCCTGTCTGCCCATAGAGCTCATCATCTATCATTCTGCACTAATTGGCCTATCAGAATTATGCAAAAGCTGCTTCCCCAAAAGGCCCTTGAATCCAATTCTTATGCTGACATGGACTCACAAGAACGCAAACGTACATAAAGTACACAAATAATACATTTGCATTTCACTGTTATCTCGTTGAGGTTCAGATGGCTGTGTCCTGCCAGCAGATAGGCAAAAAGACACTGACTGAACTCTACCAACTCATTTATAATACTTGTAGGAAAGAGGATAGAAATGATGATGATGCTGGTAATATTATGTGAAACCCGCTGTTTTTCTCACACCAAAATAAAGCGTGTCTGAGATTGGACAGATGGTGCAAGCCAAAAGTGAAGTGGAAGATGTTAAAATGCTACACCACAGGGCCCTCTTATTTAAGAAGGCAATCCAGACTTAATATCTTATACATGGAATATGAGATGTCTGAGTAATTACAGTTTGAATGCTTACACTTATCTGTTGAGTGTTTGGTCATTTATCGTAACAGTGTTGAGAATGGCTCGGTGCATGTAGAAAAAGTTACCTAACTTACCATAGTTAGTTAGCTAAGAAGAGATCACTTTTCACTCTTGGCAGCTACTATGCAATGAGTACTTCAACTTTGTGAGGAACAGTGAGAATGGTGATTTAAACACAAAATGTGTTACCACTGCTTTTATTAATCTGTATCCCATGGCTGACAGGCAAGATGAAAGGCCACTGTGAACATTGGTTGAGGTCCCGTTTACATGGAGACGGTTCGGGTTGTATCTGCTACTTTTTTCTATCGTATAGACGGTTCGTTCACACGAGGCCGTAACGGAACCGCGGAAACGGACCCCTCAAACGATAACGGGTCCCAAGGTGGGTAGATCTGCGGACGGAACGCTCTGGGGGGGTCAAACGGCTCCGTGTGTACGCCCTATGCGCCATAGCCCCGACTCTCCCCACCTCTCCTGCTCACCCCCGTGTCACCCGCGTCATTGATGATGTGTTTCGCCAACAACAACAACCGAGTGTTTCGAGCCAGGTCCCGGTATCTCGCAGGACAGCGCACCCAGCAGGAGCCTCCAGCTAGATTTGATCGATATGGATATAAACGCGAGTGAAGTCTAATCGGACAGGAGAGAGAGATCAGAGATCAGCTGCTGCTGACGGAGACACGCAGCTCTGCATGATCACCTGCAGCTCCGCCCGCTGTGATGGAGCGATGAGTGGAGCAAAACACACACTTCAAGTTAGATCATCACCCTTAGCTATTTTAATTACCTCTCAAACTACCTAAACTAGTTATAAATATGTTTATTTTTACTGTCGGGTCACTCATTACTGGATCAGCTGCTGCATGAGATGGATACTGAAGGGCTGTCAGGAGAGGGGGAGGAAAAGAGAGACTCCGTTTATTATTCTTATATTATTATATAGAGTCGTTATCAATTTGTTTAAAGCTCAATAAATAACAAAGAATACCTTTGACCGGCACTTTTTTAATTTTGTCCGGAAGATTTAAACTTTAACGGACATGTTGACCGGGGAAAAAAACAGAAGGGAAACCAGGCAACCATGGCAACCATGCTTGGGAGGTCTTCTTCGCTGCTTTTGGTGTATTTTGTGGCGGAAGTACAGCGCCACTTACAGGCCCCGCATATGTACTACAGCGTCTCCAGCGGGTCGAGCAGTCTCGTGTGGACGGACACGTTTATTGAGCCGATTGCGTGTGAACGGAAGACTTTTTTGATATCGAATCCGGGTCATTTTCGTTTCCGTCTCCTTGTAAATGGGGCATGAGTCTCACCGAAAGAAAACACATCCTTCTTCGAAAACACCAAATTGTTTGTGCTCACATAAGTGCAAACACACAGCCATCAAATGGAAAGCCTATAGCCACACAAAATATATTACAGTTCTAGATTTTTTGTTTGAAACAATGACAAATGACCATAGCAAATGACATAATGAGAGCTAGCTAGGAGGAGCTAATTAAAGTGTGTGTGTCACGGTCTTTATGTCCTTTTGAAAG